CCAAGCCGCAAATCAACAAAGTAGAAATGTTGTCACATGAAAGATAATTTAGAGCCAAAAAGAAAACTTTCTACATTATAATTATACCTTGATTTCTTCACAACTTTCATGAAGCGAAAAAATCGCGTAGATTGGTGAAAAGCAGAATTATCTTTTATTTCAATGATATTGGTGTTGGTATTATAATTCAATACCCCGGTCGTTTTCATTTTACCACCTTTTGTGAACTTCTTTTCCTTATCAACATTTTTTAAATGTCATTTTGAGTAGGACTAGCCAGTAGGCACGTACGGAACGAGCAGGCTTAAATTTGAAGATACCTGTTGCTCAGTCTGATGATTCTGATTCTTACCAGACAAGTATATGTACCTTTTAAAAAACACAAATACCCACAAATTACTTTTTTTTTATAAGAAAAACCCAAAAATTATTTGACCATATTTGTTAGGGAGATTAGCTAGAATAACCTATTTTTTTAAAAAAATAGCTAGGATAATTTTACTATTTTTTTATTGCTGAAATAACCTATTCTAGATTTTTTTTTATTTCATAATACCAAAATTGTCATTCGCAGACTTTGCCGAGGTATTGGCAGACTCCGCTGAAATATTGGCAGACTCTACCGATGTATTGGCAGACTCTGATAATATCTAAAAATTCGCAGACTCTGCCAAAACATTGGCAGACTCTGCCGAACATTGGCAGACTCCGCCGAAGTATTGGCAGACTCTGCCGAATCATTGGCAGACTCTGCGGAAACATTGGTAGACTCTACCGATGTATTGGCAGACTCTGCCAATATCTAGAAATACGCAGACTCTGCAAAAATATTGGTAAAATCTGCCGAATATTGCCAGAGTCTACCAATGTTCGGTAGAGTCTGCCAATGTTTCGGCAGAGTCTGCCAATGTTTCGGCAGAGTCTGCCAATGTTTCGGCAGAGTCTACCAATACCTCGGCAGAGTCTGTTAAGGACAATTTTGGTATTATGAAATAAAAAAATCCAGAATAGATTATTTCAGCAATAAAAAAAATGATAAGGTTATTCTAGCAATTTTTTTTTAAAAGTAGGTTATTCTAGGTAAATTTTTTTATTTGTTATCCAAAATTTAAATTCAAATAGTTGCACTAACAAAGATTTGGAGCTTACTACTGCCATAATATAACCGAAAACTTTATGTTTTCTGTTTAAAAAATGCACACCGTATAGTTTGTGATACAATCTTATAAAATATTTTAAGGTTTTTCAAAACCTATGAGAGATTGTCATGTGGCAACTACTCTTTTGATTTTTTTT